TCATCAGTGATGTCCCTCCGTCGCTGTCTGTCATAGTCATCAGTGATGTCTATTGGTCACTGTATAAAAGTCATCAGTGACGTCCCTTATTCACTGTATAATACAGTCATCAGTTATGTCCCTCCATCGCTGTCTGTCATAGTCATCAATGAAGTCCCTCCGTCGCTGTCTGTCATAGTCATCAGTGACGTCCCTTGGTCACTGTCTGTATAATACAGTTATCAGTGATGTCCCTACGTCGCTGTCTGTCATAGTCATCAGTGACGTCCCTTGGTCACTGTCTGTATAATACAGTCATCAGTGATGTCCCTCCGTCGCTGTCTGTCATAGTCATCAGTGATGCCCCTTAGTCACTGTCTTTGTCAGTAAGTCATCAGTGATGTCCCTTATTCACTGTCTATGTCAGTCAGTCATCAGTGACGTTCCCTAGTCACTGTCTATGTCAGCCAGACATCAGTGACGCCCCTTAGTCACTGTCTATGTCAGTCTGTCTTCAGTGACATCCCTTAGTCACTGTCTATGTCAGTCAGTCATCAGTGACGTCCCTTAGTCACTGTCTATGTCAGTCAGTCATCAGTGACGTCCCTTGGTCACTGTCTATGTCAGTCAGTCATCAGTGACGTCCCTTGGTCACTGTTTATATCAAACAACCATTATGGATGTCCCTTAGTCTCGGTCTCTATCATACAGTCATCAGCAATGTCCCTTAATTGGCTGTATCATATGCAATCACCACCAGACATGTAATATCAACTATGGCAAGATAATTTTCATAACAGCAGGTTAGGTAATTAATAATTTATTAAGGGTTCCGAATGCATTTCCTTGCAGTTTGAGTAAGACCTGCAGCAGTTTAAATCTTAGAGCCCCCCTTCCCAAGTAAAATACACATAATTATTGCAAAATTACATCATGTCGCACAATGGTGAAACATCTTTTTAAAAAAGTAAATAAAATTCAAGATTTTGGAAAAGTCTTTGAAGTTAAGCTATTCCTGGAAAATCATAAAAAAAAAAAAAAAAAAAAAAACAAAATAAAAATAACACCCTTTAAAAGAATTAAGTTGCAACTTAATTTAGAACTTCCTATCTAAACATACACAGCACCGCTTTCATGTCCAGCAAAAACAAAGTTTTAAAAAATCAACAAAAACAATACAGAAAACAAAACACATGGCCATTTAATTAAAAAATACTTCAATTTTGTTAGGTTCCTCATTTTTTCTGCATTAGACAACATCTTTGCCTTTAAAACACATATTTGTAAGATAATAAAAGGCGAGCATAGGACTCTATCCTGGTGCATAATGGGAGACAACTTGCACTCAATACTCACTACCTATACACCTACCCTTCATTCTAGACCAATACACATCTATCCTTCACACTCTCGTAACATACACTTCACACTCCATCTCTAAATATACACGTCACAATCAACCTCTAAACATACACACCTACACTTCAAACTCTACTACCAAACATACACACCTACCCTTCACACTCTACTACCAAACATACACACCTACACTTCAAACTCTACTACCAAACATACACACCTACCCTTCACACTCTACTACCAAACATACACACCTACCCTTCACACTCTACTACCAAACATACACACCTACCCTTCACACTCTACTTCCAAACATACACACCTACACTTCAAACTCTACTTCCAAACATACACACCTACACTTCACACTCTACTTCCAAACATACACACCTACCCTTCAAACTCTACTACCAAACATACACACCTACACTTCAAACTCTACTTCCAAACATACACACCTACACTTCAAACTCTACTTCCAAACATACACACCTACACTTCAAACTCTACTTCCAAACATACACACCTACACTTCAAACTCTACTACCAAACATACACACCTACACTTCAAACTCTACTTCCAAACATACACACCTACACTTCAAACTCTACTACCAAACATACACACCTACACTTCAAACTCTACTTCCAAACATACACACCTACACTTCAAACTCTACTTCCAAACATACACACCTACACTTCAAACTCTACTACCAAACATACACACCTACACTTCAAACTCTACTACCAAACATACACACCTACACTTCAAACTCTACTACCAAACATACACACCTACACTTCAAACTCTACTTCCAAACATACACACCTACACTTCAAACTCTACTACCAAACATACACACACTTCACACCCTATCTCTAAGCATACACACATACACTTCACACTCTATCTCTAAGCATACACACATACACTTCACACTCTATCTCTAAACATACACACACATACTTCACACTCTATCTCTAAACATACACACCTACCTTTAACATTCTCTAACTACCATACAAACCTACTCATCACACTCTACCTCTAAGCATACACATATACACTTCACACTCTACCTTTTAACATACAAACCTACTTTTTACATTCTACCTCTAAACATACACACATACACTTCACACTCTACCTCTAAACATACACACATACACTTCACACTGTACCTCTAAACATACACACATACACTTCACACTCTATCTCTAAACATACACTTCACTACCTCTAATTATACACACCTGCCTTTAACATTCTCTATCTACCATACACACCTACCCATCAAACTCTATCTCTAAACATACACACTACTCTTCAAATTCCATATCTGAACATACACACCTTCTCTTCACATTACTAACTGCAATTCACATTCTCTAAACATACACACCTACAATTCACACTCTATCTCTAAACATACACACTACTCTTCAAATTCCATATCTGAACATACACACCTTCTCTTCACATTACTAACTGCAATTCACATTCTCTAAACATACACACCTACAATTCACATTCTCTGACCATACACACCTACAATTCACACTCTATCTCTAAACATACACACCTACAATTCACACTCTATCTCTAAACATACACACACCTACAATTCACATTCTATCTCTAAACATACACACACCTACAATTCACATTCTATCACTAAACACACACACCCAACATTGAAACTTTATCTCTAAACATACACCCATACTCTTCAAACTCTATCCCTAAACATACACACCCTACCCTTTACACAATTCCATTGATTATGTACACATGTTTAGCTAGAATATGGTAAACAATTTAATTTGAACACATAAAACCTTTATAAGACATGAACTTGCGGAATGACAATATACCATAACTATAGTTTGGGTTGCTGAGTTATCTCGTATTACAGGATCTACAACCTAAATCTGTCAAAGAGTATTACCCTCAGTTTTATACGTATGCTTTTCAGGATCCGAGTTTCTAGGGTAATAGGAACAATACAACTACACCTTCTATGATAGATGTTATTCAGTCAGATACAGGAGCAAATACACCTACCAGGACAGAAGTTCACTTTCAATAGCAGGAGAGCAATTACACATGCAAGTACAGGGTTCCTCAAGTGATTACAGTAAGATTAGGACCTTAAATTGCAGGTGTAATTACATTGGCAAGGATAGTATTTACATCTTCAGCTAATGGAGCAACTTCACCTGCAAAGATAGGAGTTGCACCTTCAGCAATCGGAGCAAATACATCTATGATTGCAGTTGCACTTTCAATAACTTGAAGAAACAATGCATGCACCATCTTTGAGAAGTTACACCTTCTGTTATAGGAGTAAATACACCTAATCTAACAGGAGTTACACTTTCAGTAATAGGAGCTAATATCCTTTCTATTATAGGATATATCAAATTATAGTGATAAGAAAAAACGTGCCTTCAAGGAAGATTGCACTGTTTGCCATTCAATTATCCTACAAATAAGTCTATTACCTTTCTAACACTCTTCATTTTTTGTGAGTGTAATCACATACCAACTTTCCTTTTTTATGAGTAGCAATGTGATAGCATTCTTTTAATTAAATCAAGATAAACAATGGTTTTTTTAATGAAGGTACTCTCTCGGACAAATAGTATATATTATGCTGTGGCCTGTAATACGAAATCCCACTGTCTTTGGAAATAAAAAAATGCAAATTAAAAAATCAGACATGATGCTGACTATCCTAAGTTCTGAAGCACATGGTGTGTAAATAGACAGAAAAAGCACTGAGTTGTAGGCACTTAGATTGCTCAAAATAAAAGGAGGGGGACAGAAGATATCTACCACATATAAACATAATGCTTGTGTTTCTACCACCAAAGTTAGATCCCTCCACACCAAACCATTCGTCCAGCCAAAGCGTTTGATCCATTCATATCTATACAAACTGTATAATACATAACAATTCTTGTAATTCATTAACACATGGATGACTAACCTCCAAAACTATCATCTTATCACACTTCATATGTTGTCATATGTTATTTTCTTAATTTGTAGATTTAAACTCTTAAACAACATACAATGAGAATATCTGTATTTTACATATATATGGTACATCAGAACAGAAAAAGGGGAAATAAATATAATTCTTTATGAAAATGAAAGAAAAGTACAAAATATTTGTGTAGTAGGCAAGATAAGAAAAAAAAACCATTTAGAGCTTGAGGTAGCTTAACTTTAAATCGAGAATTTCACAAGCAACCCTTTTTTAATATCAAAATAAAATTCTAATCTAGTATCTAAACAGGTACTGCCAAACGTTGACAAAATGCAAATGAATTTAATTGCTGTCAAAAGCTGTAATTCTTAAAATAAAAACAATTTGACCAAAGTCAGTGTTGACCTACTGTTTTCTTTTAGTGGAGACAATATTACCTCTGTCTGATACCATATAACATCCAAACATTGCAAATTATCTCACAGTTAAACTCAGAGTCACAAACAGACTCACCTTCAATCTATGAGAATTTAAAGGGATAGTATACAAATGTAGTTCAAAAAAGGAAATAACAGATCAGAAATAAAGACCAAATATCACAGCTTGATAACGCACTCCACGAAAACAATTATGGTATGTAAGTTGGCGGCTCCTCAACACATGCTACGCAGCCTTGTGTCGGCCCCCACAGCAGCCACAGGCTACTCCACACTTGTGGCAGGCCATTAGTGGCCAATAGCACCATAAACACGGAACAAACAGGGAAAGAATTGTCAAAGCAGTCCACTTTTTACAGTTGGAGTCATCAGTGGTATCACACATACAGGGGTGTCCATAGTCTCCCTCTGGATCAGACATGCAATGGTAGATAATACACTTAGGGCACCATACACAAGTGACACATTCTATACACTTCTCCACCCCGTCCGGTGCATCCTCACAACTGCCTCTCCCATTCTCCTCATGAGAGAACAGATCATGGCAGTGTTTACACCGTGACTTCTGTTGTGGTATCAACCGCTGTGTTGTTTTTCTATGCTTGTCTTTCTGCTTTCTAGGTAAAGGTGGGAGTTGCTGGATCAAAGGCTGTCTCTTGATATTACTTGTGGATTCCCGTTTCGACGGTGGTTTCTGTACTGACTCTAAGGTTGGATAGCTATATTCATGTTGTTGTTTACTTTTGGCAAATATTACATATTGGTAATCCTTCATTTCTAGATTATCTGCACAGTCAAGGAGAACTTGCTCGGATTTACTGCTCAAAGATGTTGGATCATCCGGTTTGATCCATATATCATCTCGACTGAAACTACTAGTATCAATTGTGTCCGACTTACTACTACTAGATTTGTCACTAGGGGGTGATGAGGGCTTATTGACACTACCACTTGTCACATTTCTGTGAGGGGATGTGGTAGGAATATAGTGCACACGGTGTAGATGGCCATGATTGGCATGTGGGCTGAATTGGAAGGACTCTGGTAAGCCCGATATTGTAGATTCTGGAGACTGGGGGGTGGGGCTACTTGTGGTCGTAGATGTTGTGGAGGCAGACTGTGATGACTGTCCAGACATCGGAAGGTCAAGCAGCTGTAACACATCAGAATATATGTTTAAAGTGTTTCAATTTCATATCTATCCATTGTTAGGTTTGAAGCAACTATACATACATACCCTTACAAATTCTTGGCATATGTAAAATGCATACCAAATTTGATCAGCATCGATTAAAACATTCTATGGAGAGTTATTGATGACAATTTTTAATTGTGTTCTTAAAACAAGTAATCAAGCAGCTGTAGCAATGTCAGAAAAAGTAGACACTCTGAATAAGCTGTAGTTAAGTCAAAACAGTAGACACTTACCACAAAGACCTCTTCATCACCATCTGGATTGCACACCCCTGCAGAAAACAAAACATTTTATAAAATGACACATAGTCATACATGATCATTAATCAGAAATAATGAACAACAATGGAGAATTTTAGTTGAAAGTATGAGACAGGTTTTCAAAGAAAAAGAGGCTTGCCTCCTATTGTACATACAACAATGGTGGATTCCTCATAGACCTACATGCCAAATATCGCCATCTTCCCAAAACTTTATCTAATGTAATGTACATACAACAATTCTGGATTCCTCATAGACCTACATGTAAAGAAATACCATCTTCTCAAAACTATGTTTAATGTAATAGTGAAGTTCAAAACTTTTTTAAGTGCAACAAAATTTTACTATAGAAAAATGGTTTTATTTTGATATTTTGAATTTCAGATTAAAAAAATTTTTTTTAAAGGATATGGGCCTAAATGGTCACCTGAGAGATTCACTGACATGTGTTGCTTTTGATTGTCTATGTACACTTGTGAGGTGACTAAAGAAAAAGTAACATGCAAAGCAAAAAGTTCATGAAATGGTGATAAAGTAAACCCCAGGTACATGAACTTGTGGAATGTGATAAAGTAAACCCCAGGTACATGAACTTGTGGAATGTGATAAAGTAAAGCCTAGTTACATGAACTTGTGGAATGTGATAAAGTAAAGCCTAGTTACATGAACTTGTGGAATGTGATAAAGTAAAGCCTAGTTACATGAACTTGTGGCTTGTGATAAAGTAAAGCCTAGTTACATGAACTTGTGGAATGTGATCAAGTAAAGCCTAGTTACATGAACTTGTGGAATGTAAGTTAGTTGTTGCAGGAATACATCACAGTACAAATGTTAAAAGACAAGGTTTTCTTGAATCAGAAGCTTGTCTAAAAGTTAGATACCTCTCACATTGTAAAGTTTCAATTGGTTTAAGACTGAAAAACAGCTACACTATGCATGGTTTAACCAAGATTCACCTAATCAAAGATCTAAGATAATGAGCATTCATGAAACGTGTGTCTGCCTAAAACTATTCCATTTTCTGGTTGGCTTACCAGTAATATTTTATTAAATATTGTAAACAGTTGAAATCCCTTTTATTCAAGCTCACATTTCACACTTATTCCATAATTCTTCTCTTCTCTTTCCTCAAACACAGAAAACCTTGAACCTTAATTTGTCCTAACAATTCATGTCCTAAGCAATGAGCATAATAAATACCTCAGAGTATATATCACATCTAATGGGTTTTTTTGGGAGGGTGGGAAGTCAAATGTTTATAGACAGATGATAGCTGACAAAAACAAAAGGAGGAAGAGAAAAAAAAAGTGAAAGATTATCAGGCTGGGGAAAGTGCATCCTTTAAACTTCATGATCTGCCTTGTCTGATATTTCAAATAGTGATTGCATAGAATATACCCAAAATACACAGGTTTGTTCTAGAACTTCTCACACCAAACAAAGCGGCACAATCTTTCAGTCTCAGACAAAACTTCCAGCTAGGAAATGGTCCTACATCACCTAAACACTTATAATGGGCAAAATACATAATGAAACTTACCATTTACAAATCCAAAACATAAAGCAGCATAAAAAGCAAATAAGAGAAATGGTTTAATAATGTGCAGTTGAGGTCTAATTTCAATTCTTAACTTCAATGTACAGCTACAACACAAATTACAGAATGTGCAGTGTACAGAAATGTCAATATAGCAGCTTTACATGACTGGCAGTGGTGATAATCCTATGTTCAGAAATAAGCCCATCTCCTTCATAGTAAATATTACAGAAGTTTAACAACAATACATGTACATGTCCAAGGGGAATACAATTTTTATTTTCACTATCAACATTTTCACTAAACATGTTAGGAATCAACACAAGATATTATTAATTCATTTGTGGCAATCTGGATGTCCGAGATGTGGAGATACAGCCATTTCTAATCAAATAAACCACGGGTCTTGAAAACATCCACCTTTTTTCACCTTCAGTAGGTGCAGAACTATAATATGTATACAAACTTAAATCATCTAACTGTTTAAACTCAAGGATTACTTTATCATATTCAAATTCTTCAAAAGGATATTTTAACTATTTATTTCTTTATGAAGAAATTTTGTAATGGTTACACAAAATGTGTTTTCTTTGCAGTTTACACAAAAAAAGGCTGATTACAGTTGTTAAGTGTATAGCATTTAGGATAGGGCCATAATTGTTTATACAATAAGTTAACAGTGATCATTCTCTTTAACAGTGACTGTATTAAAGTATCAACAGGCACTGAACACTGTAAAAAAGGGACTTGTTATTGATATTATATGATTCATTCATTTAAATGGCAAAATTGTAAACCTGTAATCTGAAATAATACATTTATACTATTGTTGGAAAATAACATTTCAAGTCAAAGGGACAAAAAGTGTATATCAATTACATAGATTTGACCATTATAATTTCTCTACCAAAATTCAAAATCACACAATATTAATACTTTTTTATTGATGTATCTCTAACGTCAGAATTCTTATTCTGACTAATGTTTTCCCAAAAGGCTCTTCAAAAGAAAAGACTGGTTTAAAACTCCAGCTATCTATGATTTCACAAATGCCATCTATTGTGCTAGCAAACTACAGGGGAACACTGGTACAAAATTAACATACCAAACAAATTAAAAAAGATCATAGATGACACACAAATTAAACTGAAAAAACATCCTAGAACATAAGCACATGATGATGACGATGACGACAATGATGATGACAACAACAAAGACAGCAACGATTAAATGTAAGTTCACATGATGATGACAATGTTCTACAAATTATTCATGACTGTTAAGGATATTCCAAGTTCTTCACATGTAATCATCATGTTGTTTTGCCTGGCTCTGATCAATAGACTAGGAATTACACTGCAGTCTAACAAAATAGAAACACACCATCACCATAGATTTAATGGTAAAATATACTAATTGACCTGGACAACAGAGCATTAGGTATAGGCCTGGCACGGTTATATAATTGTCTTGTATTATATACTGTAGTGGTGGTTGTGTATCCAGCATTCATTCATACCTGTGTAATCCAGGCCATCATACACCTTCACCGGATGTCAAACCTCCCCTACCCTTTACTTACACAGTGGACTCAACCACATTGCTGTACCAGCTATACAAACAGTGATACACACAGCCTGATAGGGAGAGTGGGAATAATGTATGGGGCCTTAATCTTTTGATGGCTACATTATATTGGATAGGATGAGTAGGTCATTCATAAATTTATAAGCAAGGCTATTAGCATGTGAATGGATGATTGGTTAGGACTGGTCACCTGGTTTAGCCACATCTGCCTGACCCACTCAAGTCTGGCTCAGCCAGATGAATGGCCTGTGGTTTTTAATTCATGAATAGACCCCTGACCACAACCACAATAACAGTGACCACTAAAGAGCTGAGTCAATAACCATGGCCTACACCTACTTGATGGTCTTGTCTACAATGCTATGTAGCCCCAAGGCCACAAACCAGTCAACAACAAAAAATACTGTAGCTGGTTTTAAAATTAATTTTCAGGTCACTTGTCAAGCAACTCTCAGTACAGTGTCAACCCCTTCTTGACATGCATGAACAATTACTTCCAGTGATACTGTCACCTGTACATTTACATATGTAGTATATTACTTTATACATATGACACTTGTATCATCTGGACATAAAAACATATACATCACATCATGGCAAAACTCATTAACCACCAGACTAAAGTAATGTAAGCCTTATTCATAATTTACACAGCCTGAGTTAACTTCCATTCATTAAAAGCCCTCCAGAGCATCCATTCATAATAATGTCTTGCCATATATCAGGTACTCTTATCTCTGGTTTTCATTCATAATTTTCTGTTAATTAGCCTGCTAGTATTTCTTCTGTAGGTTACACTAGTAACCCTCCACAAACTGCTGGTAATTTGCTGCCAATATCAACAGCAGTGTAAGGAAGGGGTGTGTAGTGATCCCAACAAGGCTTTTCTGCCGCTGGAGAGGACCAAAAAACATCCTCCACATGTGAGGTTTTACCAGGGACTTCCTCTTATTAATTTGCTGGTGAGAAGCTATACTTAACAGATATACTCTTCCAATGAAGCTACTATTAGCCTTTTTAGAGCTACCTCTAACATTTCTACTTGTCCAATGTTCAGACCCAAACAAGGTCTGCCTCTTCATCTACCATCTACTGGTGCAGCCATAGCAAAGCTAGAATTATTCAAACAACAACCACAGAGTATCAACATACTAACCTCAATAATTCTAACTTGATATTGAAAAAGCAAAGAGAAACCAAAAATAAGACAGAATAAGACCAGGATACTAGTAAGGTGTTCCAGAAAAGTTAGCATATTATGATTTAGCAAGGACATCTTCCAATCAAATAAAGTCTATTTCAAGTCCTGTCATGTTCATTTCGTGGAGACAGACTTCTAAAACCAGTACCAATTCCTGAATACAGCCTACAAAGTTGATTCCTGTTAATATGAAGTAGACCCTAAAGGAGAAACTTAACTGTTTTGCTTTTTTTTGTTTTGGCTTATTTTGTCAAAACACCTATCAAAGGGACTTGTCAACCAATAATTTGTAGTGAAAGTCCTTTATATACCGCAACATATCCCTAACCTGCAAAAATCTGCTCCTACACTGCTGATCATATTACGTTATGGGTCTACACAAGCTGTTGTCTGCTTACTGTATTTGACTGTCAGCCTGTTACATGCATTTACCTGGCCCCTAAATAAGAATTAAAGGACAATCTTAAGACCCGAAGGTGCAAGTCAAGCTAGAAACAATCCAATTACTTTTAAGTAATTAGTATGAAATGATTATTATCAAGATGGTGAAAGTAGTTCTTTTTATAACTTGACAGTAAATAATGAAAAATCATATTTATATGCGAGTGTTCCAAGGTGTACTGATCTATATCAATTAACTATTGATAAGAATTTAAACTTAAAACTGTATCTATTTACATCTCTAA